AAAAAAAAAAAGTTTTATGAGTTGATTGTTCTTCAGGGTTTCCACTCTTTTCCTGTTTTAAAGGTAGGGATTTTCTCTCTGTGTCTATACAATTTCTACCTGATAAAATACTTTAGAGATTGGCATAACTAGCAAAAATGTATATTCATTATAAAAATGCCCATGTCTTTTTAAGATTTGATTAATTTACATGACCTTTCCAGGTGTTGAAATCACATTTCAGAATTAGACTACCTCATGTGTGCAGGTTTTCAAATATAGTGTAAATCCTGGTTCTTCAAAGGAAACTGAGGTTTGGATGGATTGAAATAATATAATTATCTTTCTCAGGTCTTGGGGAGTGCCGTGGCGTTTGGAATCCGGTATCATCTTGTGCGTCTGTTCTACGACGTCTAGAACACTGAAGCTCCTGAGAGACTTTACAACCTGCTGCTTTCATTTGGAGAAAACACAAAATACTGAAACAAAACTGATTGTTGTAAGAATGATTACTTTACTGCCTGTCCTATATAAAGTATGGAATCCTGACACGTTGTATTCCAGCTTCTCTGTCTGATACATCTGCATGTGCAGGGACAGTCTATACATATGCCCTTAATTCTCGTTGGGACATGAAAGCTCTGTAGATAATGAACAATGTCTGCATAAAGATGTCCAATAATTTGGGTTGACCTGAAAAGAGTAGGTTCTATTTTGAAGGATTATATGAAAATGTTACATTCAGTGATATTTTAGGCAGTTGGTGAAATTTTTGAGGACATTTCTGAAAGATTACTTGATATATGCAGTAATATTTTTTGTGTCAGTTCTAATATTATGCCTTTGACTCATTTGAATAAACCAACAATGACAATGGACCACACTAGTTTCTGGAAAGGAAAATGTGCTTTATATTTATACAGTTTTTATAAATTATTCTACATTTTGTATGCTTTATATTTATACTGTTCTTATGCGGTATTCAGACCAGAAATCAAACACAACCCAGACATAATGTTAGGCTTTTCCAGGTTCTCAAATTTGACGGTCCCCTTCCTAAAATACAAAGGCAGCCTTTAAGCTTCATATACAGTGGGTACGGAAAGTATTCAGACCCCCTTAAATTTTTCACTCTTTGTTATATTGCAGCCATTTGCTAAAATCATTTAAGTTCATTTTTTTCCTCATTAATGTACACACAGCACCCCATATTGACAGAAAAACACAGAATTGTTGACATTTTTGCTTTTGTCGGCCTTCATAACCGCAAATATTGAATACTTAGGAACATGTGATATTTCAGTTTTTCTTTTTTAATAAATCTGCAAAAATGTCAACAATTCTGTGTTTTTCTGTCAATATGGGGTGCTGTGTGTACATTAATGAGGAAAAAAATTAACTTAAATGATTTTAGCAAATGGCTGCAATATAACAAAGAGTGAAAAATTTAAGGGGGTCTGAATACTTTCCGTACCCACTGTATAAGAACCCTTTAATACTTTAGTAAGTGTAGTATTTTAATGCGAACATTATGTTTTCAAAATTAAATAATTAGCTTTTATTTGCCATTGTACTAAAATTATAGGAAATTGTTAAAATATTATCTGGAAAATATTTACTTGATATCACAGTTTAAATGAGCTCTCTTTCCTGAATATTAGAATGTAAGACAAATATTTTCTACTTCTCTTGAGATCTGTTAGTATAGTACAATAATACTGTTCCAATTCCAAAGCAGATTTACTTTAAGTATTGCCGCACAGCAAGTTTTTTTAAGGGTTGTACGACAGGCATTACCGCCACTGAATACAAAGTGCAAATCGAGCTGCGGAACACTTGAAAGAGTTTAGGTGTTGGAGGGAACGATAATGGTGATGTACCGCTAGGCTGCGATTTGATTGGCTGCGATTTGAACGTGACGCCGCAAACTTGAATTCTGATTGGTTTGGTTGTTTCGTGGGGGGAAAAAAAGTAAGGAAATGTTTGAAGTATTTGCAGGAGGTGAGTTATTTTTCAGTCTTTTTGAATAACCGCAGACGCTTTCCCTCACGAAATGTCCTTGAATTAAAACACATTCAATTATTCTCAAGCGACGCTATTAAAAAGCCACTAGACGACAAAATGGAGGCAGAATATTAACTTGATTTTTTTTGTTTTGCTAACCAGCTATGTCTCATGCTAGGTAACAACTTTGTCTATGAGTTCACAAAACTACTAGCGGCACATTTGGTAATTAATAAGTGTTAATATGGTAGAGGTAATAATTTTGGGGCAGTTCATATAGTGAATATAGATGTTTATTGGCTTTAAAAACAACCTGGCAGCTGTGAACAGATTGCTCGATCTGCGGTGTGCAGAACAAACTTAGAGTCGCATTAGATCTCGCATATGACTTGACTATGTGTTTCAGAAGACTGGAGGACCACACACTGTGCTTTACATTCCGCTCTGCACGATGACCCCGTCGGGGAAACGCGCCCTGCGCAGAGAGGAGCTGCAGCTGGAGCTGGCGTGTGAGTGGGGCTCGTGTCAGGAAACGTTTGACAGGATGCAGGAGTTCTGCCAGCACGTGGAGAAACATTATAAAGCTGCCGTGGACAGCGAGACAGACTTACCAGGTGCGTCCAACACTTGAAAGTGTCAGTGTTGATGTGTCTTGTAATGGAAGCATTTATTTACGTATTGTTCGTGTCTTAAAGGGATAGTTCACCCCAAAATGAACATTCTTATCATTTATTCAACACCATATTGTTCCAAACTTTTTTATGGAACACAATAGGAAATTTTTTTGAAGAATGTCTTCTCCATGCGCTGAACATGAATAGTGACTGTGGATGTCACATCTAGGGGAGAGTGGAAAATCATCTGATGTAGTCCATACAACATATACGACCCCTTAACAGCTTAAATTTGGCCTGTTCCTCACACAGAGCAGTTGTCTTGGAACAGAAAATCAGTCAAATGGACTACTTCTAATGACTTTTTAAATGTTTTTAACTTTCTACTCACCCCCACGTTCAAACCTATATGCCTTTGTTTATTCTTCGAAACAGAAATGAAATGAAACCTGAGAGGTTTATATAAATTATAATATAATTTTTTTTTTATTCGTTTCAAACTAAAGGAACTTAAATTGAAAGAAGTTGAAGTACTAAAATGGTTAACTGAAAATCAAAATAAAATACTGTGTGTGTGTGTGTGTGTGTGTGTGTGTATATATATATATATACATATATAAGCACATAACAAATATTCTAAAAAATGAAACTAAAATTAAAATGAAAACTGAAAATAAAAGCTAATTGAAAATATTCATAAAAACTCTCAATATAACAGCACTGTTTATTGTGTAAAAATTTAAGAATAAACATACCATACGCTGCAAAATAGATAACAATATAGCATTTCAGTTCAGGTTAAATGTGTTCAAAGGGGACTATTATTGCTGAGGATGTGCTAGTTGCACATAACATTTATTTGTTCACCTATTCGACATTGCATTAACAGTTTCTGGCACATTTTTATGCACTGCCCGTCTGTCTTTTTTAATGTTACATCAGCGGTGGATTGTTTCTAAGTGTTGAACCTTAGCAGCTGTCTCAGCTCAAGGTTTCTGGCAGTCAGAGTCCCTGTGGCACTGACTCCATTGGCCTGGTCCATAATCGATACTTGGCTCGCCTGCATGTTTTACAGAAGAGGAGCATAACTGTCTTTGGAGAGACTGTGGCTTCTGCTCAGTGGAAGGAAATGCAGAGCTTCTCAGACACATATTCTTCCATTGCTACCACACCAAGTTGAAGCAGTGGGGTCTTGCTATACTCAACGGCCACAGCGACATGGGTGCCTGTTCGGTCGGCCTTCATAACCGCAACATTGTGCCTGAGGTCCAAGAGAACTTCCTTTGTCTTTGGGAGCACTGTGAGGTATGAAAGCAATTTTCCACTTTTAAGTAGATTATATATTACTGTATGTGGCTTGTCAAATCAGGTTTATTGAGGTGTGAAGAATAAGTGGGAGGGTTTTTATTTTACTATTATATGTATTCTGTTTGGCAGTGCTTTAAAAATAAAGTGCTCCGCTGATAAGCGTGTTTCTATTCAGATGTCTATGGATAATCCAGAGTGGTTCTACAGACATGTGGAGATGCATGCCCATTGTCTCGAGGCTAATGAAGAGAATGTGTTGTTCTGTGGCTGGAAAGGTAAGAAATAACTTCAAGGCCTCTCCATTGTCCACAACTATATTCGAAAGCCCTATAATTTTTCTAGTTTGTGATTTAGAGGAGAAGCATTAAAGGGATAGTTCACCCAAAAATGAAAATGTGATGTTTATCTGCTTACCCCCAGGGCATCCAAGATGTAGGTGACTTTGTTTCTTCAGTAGACCATAAATGGAGATTTTTAACTCCAGCTGTTGCAGTCTCTCAGTCGTATAATGCATGGCAATGGTAACAAAATCTGTGAGAGTAAAAAAAACATGAACAGACAAATCCAAATTAAATCCTGCGGCTCGTGATGAGGACATCAATGTGTCGTCACGAGCCGCAGGGTTTAATTTGGATTTGTCTTGGATGCCCTGGGGGTAAGCAGATAAACATCACATTTTCATTTTTGAACAGAACTATCCCTTTAATGAAAAGGACATAAAAAAAAATCTTACAATTTCTATCCGATGAAATGTGTTGAAGCTTAGCATAACTATAAAAATGTATATTCATTATTTTTTCATGTCCAAAAATCACAAATTTAAAAATAGGCTACCTTATGTATTCAGTGGGAACCCTAATTCTTTAAATAAAAAATCATTATTTTTATTTAAAGGGGTCATATGATGCTGCTAAAAAGAACATTATTTGGTGTATTTGGTGTAATGAAATGTGTTTATGTGGTTTAAGGTTAAAAAAACACATTGTTTTCCACATACTGTACATTATTGTTTCTCCTCTATGCCCCGCCTTTCTGAAACCTGTCGATTTTTACAAAGCTCATCCATCTGAAAAGCAGGGGTGTGCTGTGATTGGCCAGCACAGTGCGTTGTGATTGGCCGAATACCTCAAGCATGTGACGGAAATGTTACACCCCTTACCATACTGTGATGCCCTGTCCGGCCAGAGCGATGAGACAAAAACATGAAAACCCATTACAAACAAGGCATTTGTTGCATCCAGTGGGGAGATAATTACTGATTATAATGACTTATACTGTCTTTTTACGCGTTGCATTGCATCGCGCCGTGTAATTATAAAACCATGTCTGCATTTGTGATCGGAGAAATGACAAACAACACTGCTCAAAACTCGAGTTTGAATCATCAGTGGCAAATTCATTAAATATGAAAAACATACTTACAGTCTGTGAGTCAGAACAGGCAGCATTGTAGTCTACTCCAGTGTTTCCCAACCTTTTTTAAGTCGCGGCACCCTTTGGAAATTTTAACAAACTTGTGGCACCCTACAAAATTAATTTTGTCACAATATTTGAATTTCTAACTTCGATATGATAATTTGAAAAGTATAGATATTCGGTACAACAGGGAAGAACTGCAGAATATAATTTCATACAGATATTTTTTATATTATTAAATTTTGTCCATCAATGGTGGCAATCAGTAGGCTAATTTCTAATGAAGAGACCAATTTATATGACAGATTTTAATGTAGGCTTTTATACATATGTAAACATTGTTTAATTACCATTATAACTAGCTATCTCACACATTTTTGCTCACTCAGTGTTTTTAAATTTTACAGTGGGGTAATTTTGGTGCAGTAGCACATGAACGGTATACGAGTGGAGCGACTGAGCGGAGCGCACATGCATAGAGCCGGATAATACACAGAGCGTCACACCAAGTAAAAGTGAAACCTGAGCGGTGAACTAATTTTCGGCAGCCGAAATTTCGGTGCATCTCTAATTATTGGCGACATCAGAAATGGATATTATACAGTGATGTGAAAAAGTGTTGGCCCCCTTCCTGTTTTTAAATGTTTTTGCATATGTGTCACACTTAAATTCAGATCATCAAACTAATTTTAATATTACACAAAGATAAATGCAAGTAAATACAAGATGCCATTTTTAAATGATTATTTATTTTATTAAGGGAAAAAAGCTGTCCAAACCTGCCTGGCCCTACGTGAAAAAGTAATTGCCCCCTAAATCTAATAACTGGTTGTGCCACCCTTTGCAGCAACAACTGCAATCAAGCGTTTGCGATAACTGGCAATGAGTCTTTCACATCGCTGTGGAGGAATTTTGGCCTACTCTTCTTTGCAGAATTGTTTTAATTCAGCCACATTGGAGGGTTTTCGAGCATGAATGGACTGTTTAAGCATCTCAATCGGATTTAAGTCCGGACTTTGATTTGGCCACTCCAAAACCTTAATTTAGTTTTTCTTGAGCCATTCAGAGGTGGACTTGCTGGTGTGTTTGGGATCATTGTCCTGCTACATAACCCAAGTGCGCTTGAGCTTGAGGTCACAAACTGATGGCTGGACATTCTCCTTCAGGATTTTCTGATAGCATGCAGAATTCATGGTTCCGTCAATTATGGCAAGTCGTCCATGTCCTGAAACTGCAAAGCAGCCCCAGACCATCACACTACCACCACCATGTTTGACTGTTGGTATTATGTTCTTTTTATGAAATGAGGTGTTGGTTTTACACCAGATGTAACGGGACACACACCTTCCAAAAAGATCAACTTTT